GGTTGAATAGTGTTAGTATTTGAATATAGATCAATATGTTATCCACCATATCTTTTATATGTCTTATCAAATCATTACAATCCAAATGGTTAATTTAACCATCATTTTTGTATGTAGCACCCTTCCCTTCATCTCCTTTTTATCCCTTCATCTCCTTTTTATGTATGGATCATAGATCTTAATTACTTTTACTCTTTCATTGTTCAACAAGCTAAAATTGTTCAAAAACTATTCCATCCCATCCGTATTTAACCCTCTTTCTTCTAAATATTGTATTCTCCAAATATCCATGGATTCTTTGTAGATCCACAAATAACACACAAACAACTAAAATATCAACTGACATAACATTTACTCTTCAGAGTACAACTACGTTAGTGTGTACTGTATGAATAAACCTTACCTTTCTTAAAGCATCTACACTAAGAGAGTTCTTTGGACTAACTTTATTTTTTTTTTTAACTTCAAATTAAAAACCCATCACATCTCCATAATAAGAGTACTTTTATGGACTTATTCAAACAACTCATTCATTTTGTTTTTACATATAACTTTCAACCCTTTTATAATTCTCTTCAAAGTTTTTCTTAAGGTACCCACCACCAATGCATAATTGCACATAGAAACCGAAATACACCACTCATTATTTCAAGAAACCCGTTTATGAAACAGTATTCGAGTGGTTGTTTTACATGAAAACTCAAAACAGTCGACTTGTCTAAGGAAACGCACCTCGTTGTCTTCATTTCATTAATACTCTCTCTGCCTTAGAAAAAAAAAAGCTACAATAACAAGTACAAAATGAACACTTTGAACTTTTACTTGATTTTTAGACCAATGGAAGCTCCCCACAATCACTGATAACCACTCTCTTCACAGGGCGATCACCTCTGTCTGTCTGCTGTGACTCAATCAGCTTCACTATGTCCATTCCCTCAAGAACTTGTCCAAACACCACATGCCTCTGATCCAACCATGGTGTCTAAAAAGTAAAAAACAAACATGTTATTGTTAGCTTCTTAGTTTCTTACATGTTTATGGAGATAATATGGACTTATGATATTATACCTTGACTGTGCATATGAAGAATTGACTTCCATTAGTATTGGGTCCTGCGTTTGCCATGCTAACAATTCCAGGTCCAGTATGAACCACTGTAATGGTAAAAAAGAAAGAAATGTTAGGGTATTATGGTAAATTTGCTTTATGGTTGGTTGATTCTTACAGTTGAAGTTTTCGTCCTTGAATGTTCTACCATATATGCTCTTGCCACCAGTGCCCTGTAATGTATAAAAAGAATCACTTTAATGACACAAGGAAATGGAGAAACCATGAGATAAAAGGATAAAAAAAATTAAAACATTATACATACATTTCCCTTGTCAAAGTCGCCTCCTTGAATCATGAAATCCTTGATGACACGATGGAATGCAGAGCCCTTGTAGCCGAAACCTTTCTCTCCTGAAAGATATGTGTGTGTGTGTGTTTGTGTGTTAAAAGTTGAGGAGAATAATATAAGAAATTAGATGATTGTGATTTGTGATAGTGAACCTGTACAGAGAGCACGGAAATTTTCAGCAGTTTGGGGAACATCATCACCAAAGAGTCCAATCACAACTCTTCCTGCAAGTTTTCCCACTGGATTGCCAATGCTTATGTCAAAAAATACTTTGTTTGTTACTTTTGCCTGTGTAGCCACCTCCTGAATGTAGAAGAAACATGATTGTAAGTTATCGTAACAAACAGAAGCAATCGCCTCTGTATGTTACTCGATATTCATGAATTTCAAATCTGCAAATCGATAACTAGTAACTACAACTATCAGATGAATGAAACTATTTCAATATCGTTTGAGTGTACTGCAATTTACGTTTACGAACTAACTGTTTCTCTTTCTGAACATAATTAGGTTTAACTCATAGTCTATACCATACAGTAACTGATTTCTTAATGTATAATAATTCTGCGGAAGATAGAGTTTCTTACATATATACAAATGCATGGAAACGGATGTATACCTGAGCACTAGCCCTAACGGAGCCGGTCAGACCACTGGATTTCTTCAAAAACGGAGGGTTAGTTGAAGACGACAGCCGCAGCGAGTTGGATAGAAAGCTCGACGATGTTAATAACGTAGATTTACCAAGCTTCGTAGAACTCAAAGAAGAGGTATGCACGGCTTTCACCGGCGAGATACTTCGGGAAGCAGAGAGCGAACCGACGTTTGACTGAAAGAACAAGTTCAATCGAATTAAAGCCACAAAACATATGGATAGAAGCGTGGAAAGTAGATTGTAAAGCTTACCAGAGATGTAAATGAGAGCGCCATTGCTTACTGGTTTTGTGGATAATCCAGGAAAGGGTATTCTGAGGAGGGTTTTTACAAACTGAGAAGACGGATGACGGAGATGACGAGTCAGTGGTTCATTGGTATATTCGCCTCTTGATTTACC